GCTGAACAAGCGATGCAAACAATAACTATTGTTTGCATCACTTAATAAAGATCAATTAAGTGAAGTAGAGTTAATATCTGGTGATAATAAAGAGAAAGAGGTTAAAGTAACATAATGATATAGCTGAGGAAATAAATCCAGGTAAAACTAATGTAATAGTATAAACTGAAGTTGAAGTTTGCTATATAACAAATTTTTATAAGTGCCCAAAAAGTTACATGTTTGTTTTAAAAAGTAATATGTATAAAAAATATGCCAAACAAAAAAACAAAGACTAAACTGTTCTAACTAATTTGCATCACAAAATAAAATTGATCATGTAAAAAAATATGATTTACACCATATGCAATACGTATGACAGAATTGATAAATACTGCTTTTCAACTTTTTTTTACCTCAAAAATCTTTATTATAGTTTTAATTAAGTCAAAAAAATAAGAAGAAATTATTTTTAAAGAAAAGTGTGCACCAAAATTTGAGCATAAACTAAAAAGACTTTTATTTTGGCAGGTGTTTACCGATCAACAGAGACATTAGTGATGGACAGCAGATTCTTGTTCTGTAATGAGTTGTGAGCGTTTTCATACCATTTGAGAGATTTGAGATTTGACGACAAACCAATTCAATAATTAAGACGCAGCAATGACAAATTTGCACCTACTCGTTAGGTTTTTGACATTTGGGTACAAACACTTTTAAATAGTTTAAGACCAAATAAAAATGTTACTTATGATAAAAAGCTGGTTCCCTTTCATAAATATTGTTCCTTTAGACAATATATAAAATCCAAACCAGCAAAATATAGGTTAAAGCTATAGTTACTTTGTAGTTCTAGTACCAATTATGTCTTAAATACACAAATTTATACTGGAGCAGTCCTAATGTGGGCTCAGAAAGAAATCAAGGGCATTAAATTGTTCGGCTTTTAGTTGAAAGTATAAAAAGATCTGAATGAAATGTTGCAATGAAAAACTGTTTCACATCAGTTACACTTTCACAAGAACATTTGGAGTAGTAACACAAGAACTTTTAGAGTTGTAATGATGCGAAAAAATGAAAAAGAATATATATATATATATATAAATATATATATATATATATATATATATATATATATATATATATATATATATATATATGTATATATATATATATATATGTATATAAGTATATATAAATATATATATATATATATACATATATATATATGTATATATATATATGTATATAGTTATATCTCTCTCTGTCTCTCTCTCTCTCTCTCTCTCTATATATATATATATATATATATATATATATATATATATATACATATATATATGTATATATATATATATATATATATATATATATATTTATTTATACATATATACATATATATATATATATATATATATATATATATATATATATATATATATATATATATATATATATATATATATATATTTACATATATATATACATATATATATATATATATATATATATATATTTATTTATACATATATACATATATATATATATATATATATATATATATATATATATATATATATATATATATACATATATATATATATATATATATATATATATATATATGTATATATATATATATATATATATATGTATGTATATATATATATATATTTATATATATATATATATATTTATATATTTACATATATATATATATATATATATATATATATATATATATATATATATATATATATATAATATATATTTATATACTTTATATATGTATATATATTTTTGTATAATATATATGTATATATGTGTATATAAATATATATATATATATATATATATATATATATATATATATATATATATATATATGTATAGATATATATATACATATATATATGTATATATATATATATATATATATATATATATATATATGTATATAGTATATATATATATATATGTATATATATATATATAATATATATATATATATATATATATATATATATATAATATATATATATATATATATATATATATATATATATATATATATATATATATATATATATATATATATATATATATATATATATAGATGTTTAAAGATATGTTTTTTTGTGAATAACAAAGAAATGTGTTTATTTTGGTAAAACAAAATAAATTTATCTTCGCTAATCTTTTTAAAGAACGATTTATTTTATTAAAAACATAATTATTTAACTGGGGTCCGTATGGACCCCAACGTTACAAATGTAAGTTAGTTAGCGACGGCATAGTAGGGTTATAATTATAAACGTTTGCTCTGAGAAAAAAGTAAATAAAAGTAAAAGGTATAGAAAAAAATAAACATTTACATATAGTAAACTTTAAACTTAATAACATATTTCCAGCTTATAACTACAAAAACTTACAACGAACAAAAAAACAAAAATTAAAAACAGCCTAATGAAACAGAAGAGTTTATTACGCAATACGCAGGCAACAAGAGCAGACGAGTAAACGTTTAATCAAGGACTTATTAATAGATGGACATTTAACGTATTGTTTAAAAGCCAAGTACTTTAGAGTTTTTTGGTGTTACTTTTCATAACACCAAAAAACTCTAAAAAGTTTATAAATAAATAAAACCTTTTCATTTTATGATCAATAAACTCAAGCGAAATCTATACATGGAAAATAAAAGTTAATCACAGAAAAATATCAAAACAAAATTGTGAGTGAAGTAAAATTTCCGACAAAAATGAGAAATTTAAATACTTAAAGTATTAGTGAAAACTAAGTGTAGGGAATAGAGACCACAAGTAATCTATAGTTCGATCTATATATGATCTACAGTTTTACCTACAACATCTAGAAAAATCGTTTCACTTTGCAGTTTTCATTCTTGCTAACTACATATCACTTTTTTACAAAAATATGATTTTTCACGTTTTATTAATAATAAGTTCTTATTAAAAAGCGCTCAAGCATCAAGTTTGACATTTTAAAACAGATGAGCTATTTCTGATTAACTAAAATGCATTAATTTTAAAAAAAAGTTAGAGTTTTGTAGGTAGTTCCACTTTTTAAAAAAAGTAGTTAGAAAAGCAAAAATATTGGAAAAACGTCTAAAAAAACTTTACTTTTTTTCTAATTAACAGTCATCTCACATATGCTAATATTGTGTGTGCTAATACACACAAAACAAAATTAATCAAACTACAAGGTTTACGAAACCATGGTTGTAAAGCAATTCATTATCTCGGCAGAATATACAATCTTACTAATGCAATGAAAAATATGAAAGTCTTAAACTTAAAAAAACTTATTTTATACCCGATTCTAATCTTTATGTTCAAATGTAAAAATAATATGCTACTAAACTATTTTTTAGACATTTTTTCGCCATCATTTTCTCAAAGTTTTAATCTGCAATTAAATAGTTTCCATAACTATTACATTAAAAAAACTAAAACCCGGGTTTAAAGACTTAAATGGGATATCGTCGTTTAAACGGCAAGCAAAGCTGCATATTCTGAGTTTGTAAAAATGATTGCAGTCAGAGGCGATTTTACAAATAAAATAAGGGGGGGGGGGGGGAAATGGCGAATTCTAAAAATGTGCCGACTAGCTGCCAAAAAAAAAAAAAAAAAGAAAAAAACGAAAAAAAAAAAAAAAGGTCCTCAAAACGAGAATTTAACCGACTACCCGACTGACTTCGTAAAAAAACAGACTGAAACTTGAAAATCACCATCATAGGAGGAGGGGGGTTTTACACCCCGTAAAGTCGCCCCACACAATCCCCCTCCCCGTAAAATCGCCCCTGATTGCAATATATTTAAAAAATATAAAAATATATATATATTTTCAATACATGCAAGTTGAGGTATATATTTTTGTAATGTATTTGATTTTTAAGCTTTCTCATTCATCACTTAAAGAATATTATGAAAGGTTAAAAAAGTTATGAAAAGTGTCAAAAAAATTCAAAAACAACTTAGCTAAAAGGTATATTAAAAAGAAAATAAAGGAAAACAAATTCCGCATTTTTTCCGGATATTTCATTATTTTTAAATATGATTAGGATGATCTATGTATACAGATATAACTGCAGTCTATTATTTATGTAATAATAAATGATAAAAACCTATTAGTAATATAACATATTAGGTTTATAGGTGCGTTCTGAAGTATTTATACTTTTAAGATGAATAAATATAAAACTTTGATTAAAACTAATAGCATAATAAAAGAGCCTCTTTAATATACCGTGCTGTGTTATAGATTTATAGATATACTTATAGATTTACTTTATAAGATATAATTATAGATATACTTTTAGATTTTCAAAAATAAAGTTTAAAATTTATAAAAAAAAGGGTAAACTTGGTCTATTTCCCCCTCTCCTCCTATGAACCCATCTCTTTTTAATGTTAATATAATAATATTTTCAATTTCTATTTTTAATAGGAAATACTCTGAAACTTGAGTGACAACTGATAGGAGAGAAGGCCTTGAAACCATTGAGTTTTTATTTATAGAGATATTTTTGATTTATTGCTAAGTGTTTATGAAAACCCAGAGATTGCTATTTTAATTAGAGACAAATATAGAACTTACTAAAATTGATAACCTTATTGCTATGAAGAAAATAATAGATCATATCATAACTATAGATCAAAGATATATCAAATATAAATCAAAGGTTTTATTATTGAAATATACAGAAATATGTTCCAAAAAAAGTTTGACGGATGTATTTTTGTCATGTTACAAATAATTGAACGGGCTCTACTCTATCATGTTTAAATCTCTCAAACGACGATTTTTATTGTTCAGAATTTTAGTTCTTTCGTTCGTTAATTTTGTTCTTGCAGTTTTATGTTGAACGTCTATCATTTTCTCCTCTAAAAACTAAAGAATTTCTTTTTTGTCTAACTAAAATAATTGCAAAATTTATATTTGATATAAGGTTATATGTGTAAATTAACATTGAAACTATTTAATTGAAAAAAATTTACCAGGCATTTTGTTTTCATTAATATAACTTTAAAAGTGTTGTATTAGTTGTGTCTCCTCATTTAAAACCCATTTATGATATTTTCTTTCTGAAATTTGTTTTGCAGTCAAAATAAATCAGCTATAACATATGTTAGTTAAAAAATTTACACATAAATGTTTTGTTTAACAATGTAATACATTAAAAACTTAACAAAAGTATTTTCATTTTATGCATTTATTATTAACAACTATTACTATAAATACTAATAACAACCTGTCTATCTACTGTTAACTAATAGTTTCACCCTGTTAAATGAGTTCTTATTCTAAAATATACCTGGCACAATTTCAGGTTGGTAAATTTTTCCTTCTTTCTTGTTTGCACCTCTGCTTCTTGTTTGTACGTCTTAGAAATGTTTAAAAAAAGAACTTTATTAAATCATGTTTATTGATATGATTATATATATATTTAAAAGAAATATGTTTTTAAGGAAAGATATTACAGATAATTATATGTAGTATTATAAATATTTTCTTTAATTTTGTTTTAAGAATATTTATAAACATTCTAGCATAAAAGTTTAATTAACATTTTAAATTTGTTATTTTTTGAATTTAGCTTAATTTTAATGTTTATTGGACCGTTTTATGAAACAATGTGCACGCTGTGAGACACAAAGAACACTGAGATACCGCCGCGTTTTTATGTCGTGACACTCAAACAAAACCTGTTTTATTTAGATTTGTTTGGAAACGATAGAAAAAATACTTTTACAATCCAAAAAAATATCAAAGAGTCACAAATGGAGCAAAAGGGTTAATAGAAGGGCCAAATTCAAATTTGCTGAATGTTAAAATAAATAGGCTAAGGCTGAAATAAACACTCTTTTATTCAAGATATTTCACTCATTTATTTAAAAATAGAAAAGAGCAATGTTAAAACTAAATAAAAATGCTAAGGGTCACGATTGGGGGTAAAATTGACGGGCCTTATTAAGCATTTTAGATGTCATTTACAGTTTGTTTAAAAATTGTTCATTTTGTTGGCAAAATTGACCTTTTAGACCAGTCAATCCGTAAATATAGACTGACTTGTCTAAAAGGTCAATTTTGCAGACAAAATGAAAAGAAAATTGTTCATTAGTTTACTTTGACATACTGTTCTAGAGCCCTTTTGAACAGCCAGTAAATGAACTTTAATAAACAAGATTTTTTTATTCAGCTAAATTTTTAACTGTACACCACTCCCCACCCCCCACGTGACACCTAATGCAATGTTAAAGCTTAGAAAACTACAATAAAAAATGCAAATATTTTATTGAAAAAAAAACTTAAGTAACATATGCTTAACTACCATATCTAGTATCTAGTGATTGTTGAGCATCAATTTGACTTACAAAACACTTCGTAGGAGTAAATGTAATGGAATTTGCACCCTGATTAAATAAAAAGTGTTCAACATTTTCGCATTTAACTGTATCTAAGAAATTTTATCTGTATAAATAAAAAATACATATTACACACAAATAACTAATATATGAAAAAAAAATAAGGTGACGAATGCCAAACTACCATATCTAATATCTGTAGAGTTTTTACCTTCATTTTGACTTGCAAAACACTTTAAAGGAGTAAATGTTCTTGAACTTACACCCTCATTAGATAAAAAATAGTTTTGCATTTTCTAATAAAAGTGTATCGATGGAAATTTTATTTGTATAAATTAAAAAAATAAACTAAACCAAAACATTCAAATTCTTAAAAAAACGTAAGTATATCAGCATAACTACCACGTCTTGTATCTGTAGATTTTTGACGTTTATTTTGACTTGCAAAACTCTCCGATAGAATAAATGTATTAGAACTTGCACCTTCATTAGATAAAAAATACTTTTACATTTTTGCATACAAGTTTATTGATAAAAATGGTTTGTTTTTTTTTGTATAAATCTAACAACAATTTAAAACCCAAACATAAATTTTGATAAAATAAAATTTATAAGCAACTGCATAAATACCATGTCCAATATTTAAAGAATTTTGACTTTTGTTTTGCTTTGCCAAACTCTCTGATGAAATAAATTTACTGGAACGTGCACCTTCATTAGATGAAAAGAATTTTACATTTTCGCATGTAACTTTTATTTGTATAAACCATAAAACATATTAAAATCCAAATATTTAGTCTGTTAAAAAAAAAAAAGGTAACCAAAGCGTAACTACCATATCTAATATCTGTATATTTTTGGCGTTCATTTTGACTTGCAAAACACTCCGAAGGAGTAAATGTGCTGGAACTTGCACCTTTATTTGATAAAAAGAGTTCAACGTTTTCGCATATAAGTTTATAGATAAAAGGTTTTTCTGTATAAGTCATATAAAAGAACTAAAACCCAAACATCAGTTTTGTTAAAATAAAATTTATTTATAACTTCATAAATACCATATCTTTTCTCTGCAGATTTTTGAACTTTATTTTACTTTGCAAAACTCTCCGATGGAATAAATGAACTGAAACTTGCACCTTATTTGGATAAAAAGAGTTGAAAATTTTCGCATATAAGTTTATAAACCAAGTTTTTATTAGTATAAATCATAGAAATATAATAAAACCCGAATTCTTAAACTGTTAAAAAAAAGTAACAATTGCGTCACTACCATATCTAGTACCTGTAGAATTTTGACCTTTATTTTGACTTTCAAAACAATCCAAAGGAGTAAATGTATTGAAAATGGCACCTTTATTAGATAAAAATAGTTTAACAATTTCTAATTAAACTTTGTCTATGGAAATTTTATTTGTATAAACTAAAACACAACACAACACTCCGAAGGAATAAATGTACCTAAACTTGCATCTTCATAAGATTAAAATAGTTTAACATTTTCTAATATAAGTTTATCAATGGAGATTTTATTTGTATAAACTAAAGAACTAAGTTAAACCATAATATTCAAAAGTTTAAAAATATGTAAATACAACTAGATTACTACCATAACTTGTATCTGTTGACGTTTGATGTTCATTTTGACTCGCGAAACTCCCCGATGGAATAAATGTACTAGAACTTGCACCCTCTTTAGATAAAAATACTTTTACATTTTCGCATATAAGTTTATTGATAAAAGGTTTTTTGTATAAATCATATATATAACTTAAAATCCAAATATTTCTTTTGCTAAAAAAAAGTTAGGTAACAACTTTATAAATACCATATATTGTATCTGCAGATTTTTGACTTGCATTTGGATATGCAAAACTCTCTGATGGATTAAATGTACTAGAAGTTGCACCTTTGTTTGATAAAAATAGTTTTAAAGTTCTCATACAAGTTGATCAATAAAAATTTTGTTTTTATAAGTTATAGAAACAATTTAAAAGCTAAATATATTATTTGTAAGAAAAAAAAAAATTACAACTGCTAGTTACCATATCTTTTATCAGTAGATTTTCTTGCATTTTGACTTGCACAACTCTCCGAATCGGTAAATAAACTAGAACTTCCGCCTTTATTAGATAAAAATAGTTTTACATTTTTCTCAAATAATTTATCAAAATTAAATTTTATATGAATAAATCATAGAAATAAGTTAAAGCGCAAATATTTCAATTATTAAAACAAAGTATGTAACATCTTCGTAACTACCATATTTTGTATTTGCAGATTTTTGACTTGCAAAACTCTTCGAATGAGTAAATGTAATGGAACTTGCATCTTTTTCAGATAAAAATAGTTATTAATTAAGAAGGCAATATTTAAGTTGTTAAAAAAAGTAAAACTGCATATTTACCATATCTTGTATCTGTAGATTTTTGACACTCATTTTGACTCTCCGATGGAATAAATGTACTTGCACTTGTACCTTCATTAAATAAAAATACATTACATTTTGCATAGTTTTTCGATAAAAGGTTTTTCGATCAAAGATTTTTTTATATAAGTCAAAAAAATACTTTGTTATATACGTTGTAAAATATACTAAATAAAATGAATAAAATATTATATTTCACAACATGATTTTTTTTTTTCATGGTTTATAAAGTAACAATGATAATTTGTTTATCTTAGTTTTTTAACTGAAAAGTAGTCCAAAAAAATACCTAATTCTATATTCATAAGTCTTCTTCCAACTTTCACATTATCCAACAGACCTCACGGTATTTGATATGTACTTTTTTTGGTTTCCTCTGAGTGACATATATGTTTAAACCATAGATCCCTATCTTGTGTTGACAAATCAAGTGTTGCGAAAATAGAACTTAATCGATGTCGATTTTTTGTAGCGTTGAAATTCTCTGGTTTTCTTAGGGGCAATGTTTTTACTATACTATCAATTGCATTGCATCCAGAAGTATGACCATTAGAATTTCTGGTGCACGCAAAAAGATAAGGATTGTTTAAAGGAATGTTGACTTTATTTCTTATATTTATATTAGAAATTATAGATAATGCCCTCAGAGTGTCCGCCAGAATAATAACTGGAACTCTATGAGTTCCTTTACCTGCCATATATGCTATTTTAACCGACTTTATTAAGTCTTGATCTTTTTCATTAAACTCATGGAGACGATGTATATCTATGTATTCGTCCCCAACCGCTTCTTTGTACTGACTTAATAATAATCTTGCTGGTTCGCCGCCTTAAAAATAAATTTAAAGTATAAAAATTAAATTTAGCAATTCAAATAATACACATTATTGGTTTGTATGTAACAAAAATCAAACATTAAATTAAATGATACTAACTTATTAAATTAAAACAACATGATTGCTATCTCAGCAAATATTTGGTCTAAAGAAGACATTCAAACATCTCATGGCTTTAATAGACGTATTGAAAATGTCTGTTTTAGACCAGGTGTTTTCTGGGAGAGATCATGATATTTTATTTAATACGCTAGGTAATTTTTCATAATATAATTAGAACAATATAAATTTATAACATTCGGTACCCTGTCTAGCATTTAAAAATGTTATGTAGCAAAAAAAGGTAAAACAAGGTGAACTTACCTCATTTTTTAAATCAATTGAACTTTTGTTAATTGAGGAAAATGTGGTTAACAAAGATGTATTCGATGAAAATAAGTCTTCATTATTTTGAGCAACATCAGAAGAACCAGCACAAGAGCGTTTCTAAATATAAGAAATGATATCTTAAAACTTTCATATTAGAGGCTGTTCAAATAATGACAGTTTCCGTAAGCACTGTTTAACGTGTCGCAAAAATCACTTGGGGAATGGAGGGGGCTTTCTTTATTAAAAACGTATAAAAAAAATCTATATAAAGAACACATTATTTTATATTTATGTAGCAAAAAGAGGTAAAACTAGGTGAATTTACCTCAATTTTTAAGTCAATTGAACTTGTGTTAATTGAGGAAGATGTGGTTAACAAAGATGTATTTGATGAAAATAAGTCTACATTATTTTGAGCAACATCAGAAGATTCAGCACAAGAGCGTTA